AATACTCTATTAATAACCTCCTTAAATGAAGCTCTAGCTATTTGTATTTCTATTTCTAACTGTACTTGTATATTGGACAGCTTACCGTGTATGTTCCTGATTTATATTTATTGTTTGTGTTTGATAAGGGCGCCTACAACCCCATCCGTTTACAGTCTGCTTTATTGTCCAAGAATCCGTTTGAAACCAGTCAAGGGTTCAGACCAGTCAAGGGTTCGGACCAGTCAAGGGTTCAGACCAGTCGAGGGTTCGGACCAGTCGAGGGTTCGGAACCAGTCTGATCTAATCAGTGGGTCACTTATTTAAAACATACTGGTCGGTGATTTGGGCTAACACATGAAGGATCTACTTGAAATTATCTACCCGTGTATATGTGATTTGATTGATACAAAAGTATAACTTGCGTGTTGAAGAACCGGTGATTGCTGGCAGCTCCTACAGTGACGAACGGTCGAGCCTCAACCCTTGTTTATCAATCGCTGTATCTAGCTTTTCTAGGTTTTTTTCGTCTCCACCACAATAAATGCTATATTATCACTATAGTTGACTGGTGGAAATTTTGGAGGAAGGACGCTTTTTCTGTAGTAATAATTGCTTCTCGTTGTGTATATTGCGACCGCTGGTAACTACAGGTTATATGAGATTCATAGTATACATCTGGTATTTCAAGAAAAAAGAAACTAATGAAAGTCACTCCACTCCACTAAGTACCATTATAATACTGGTTAGTTGCTACTACAACACTGTATTCTGCTATTCACTGGTATCACTAGATTATATGCGTGTACACTAGCAGGCCAGGAAGATTAATAAAACAGCTGACCTCTGTGGTAAGTTTCTGGCGACTTCTGGCACCTGCCTCTATAGGCTTATCACTTCATTTACAAATTCACCTGTTTTCAAATGACACTTTAGCCTTTATCATCTATATACAGTGGACCCCCGGTTAACGATATTTTTTCACTCCAGAAGTATGTTCAGGTGCCAGTACTGACCGAATTTATTCCCATAAGGAATATTGTGAAGTAGATTAGTCCATTTCAGACTCCCAAACATACACGTACAAACGCACTTACATAAATACACTTACATAATTGGCCGCATTCGGAGGTAATCGTTATGCGGGGGTCCACTGTACTAGGGAGCCACTGTAGTATACACTATACACTATGTATACACAATGTTATCAGGGAGACTTTCTTTCCTCTGACAAAGAAAAGTTCTATTATTATTATTTTGCACACGGAACACAGGCCTATGATTCCCCTCTAGCAGTAAACTCTGCTAGGTACTGCACACTAATTCTCCTTTTTTGACTCGGTATATAATGTTTTCCACCCAAGATTGGTTCCAGGCGCTAGAGGGATGTATCGTATAGGATTGAGGGCACAAATTAAAGTTCTAGCACGTAAGAGCGACCGTGAAAACACGAGAAAACCCGGAGCACAACGAGGCACGCTGACACGCTGACATATTTTCAAATATAACAAAAAAAAATGTAGATGAAAGTTTTTTTACACGTTTTCAAATGTAAAACAAAAAAGAAGATCTACATTTTTTTACATACTTTCAGATGTTGAAAAAACGTATATATATGTTTGGACCATTTAAGGGTTAATGGACTGTAACAAACAAACTTCATTTCTTTCTTCAGTATACAAAATGCAGTTTACATGTAGTAAAATGCTGTTAAGCACAAAAGAAAGCCACTTGTATGTGGTGCACTTTGGTCAGCATGAGTGGTTCAGTACTGCCCAAGGTCAGTATTTTACCAACACTTAATAATAAAAACACATAGCTATATGACCTCTAGGTAGTAGGTTGGTAGACAGCAACTGCCCAGGAAGGTACTACCATCCTGCCAAGTGGGTGTAAAATGGAAGCCTGTAATTGTTTTACATGATGGTAAGATTTCTGGTGTCTTTTTTCTGTCTCATAAATATGCAAGATTTCAGGAACGGCTTGTTACTTCTACTTACACTTAAGTTACACTACACTTGCATGTACAAACATATATACATATACACACCCCTCTGGGTTGTTCTTATTTCCTCTTATCTCCGTGGGGAAGTGAAACAGAATTCTTCTTCCATAAGCTATGTGTGTCATAAGAGGTAACTAAAATGCCAGGAGCAAGGGGTTAGCAACTCCTTCTCCTGTATACATTACTAAAGTTAAAAAGAGAAACTTTTGTTTTTCTTTTTGGGCCACAGCCGGTTTGTTGAAAGAAGAAAGATCAAACGTGGTTTTCTTGTGGCAACAGCTATGTACAATAACTACCAGCATACATTATTATATTCATGGGGAAGCACTAAATTTGTGGGGGTCATACAGCAACCTGGGGAAGAGGTAATCAGGTTTGATCCAAAGGAAGGAGGAGATAACCAAAAAGCACTTCAGCATTAGGGTACCTGTTTTGAAGGGACTAAAAGCTTGTAGAAATCATTTTTTTGGTTATAAATACATGGCTTTTCTAACAACATCAATAATAAAAGTAGATGCATAAAACGATAATAAAAGATTACATTATTTTTCTCTAAAGAAGTTTATGGCTTCTTAAAGATTTGCTAATATGTAACGAGCAAAGGCACAATGAAAAACAAACCATTTAATTATAAAAATATAAGAAGCAATCAAATTCAAGAAAAATCTTCAATCACATTCATAAAACAAGCAGTGACACTTTTTGCTAAACGAAGAAGCTGAATATGTTAATAAGACACAATAAAGAAGGGCCCCACATATTCGGCATCCTCTTTTCAGAGTTCCGTGTTTTTAGTGGTTTTCTACTGAGCCAGTGTTCATTAAGTAGGGTGATTTTTCTGATTTTCCACAATTTCTGCATAACAGTTGTGTAAGGGAAAGGTAACAAGAGCCATATTTTAACCCTTTCAGGGTCCCCAGGCCCTCTCCCAGACTTGTTCTCAGGGTCGCCCAAATTTCAAAAAAAAAAAAAAAAAAAATTTCTTATGAAAAGATGGAGAATCTTTTCCCGATCAAAATGACACCAAAAGTATGAAATTTGATGGAAAACTTATGGAATTATGCTCTCGTGAAGTTAGCGATCTCAACGATGTTTACACATCGGCGATTTTGCCCACTTTAAGCCCTATTTTCGGCCAATTCCAGTGTACTAGTCTACAAAAATCATAACTATTTCGCTAGAACTCCATTTTTTCTATCGAATGAGTACAAGAAACCACCCATTTACCGATTTCAACTATCCAATACAGTGGTCAGAATTTAGCAATTTTGCCAATTTCATACAAATTTCAAAAGATGCCAATTTCCAAATAGGGTCCAGAATAAACAAGACAGACATTCCTGGCACTAAAACAACATTTCCTCTGTTCATAAGTCACGTCCCCAAGCCCCTCTTACGTTCTTTTGCTTTCCACTTGGAATTTTCATTCTCACAAAAACTAGAAGATTTACTGTTATGCAGACTACTGCATTAGTGTAGAAATGGTATAAATAATATTGGCGCACTTGTGAAAGAATATTAGACTCACCAGTTGACGTGTATTGGACACTTAGCATGATTTGTTTACTTTTGAACTTCGGTAAAAATCGAACATTTCTACTACTTTGAGCTCAATTTCAAGGTACTTTTCATTGTAAAACCAGTCAAAATCATCTCAATTTCTGTAATATGTCTTCCATTCTATAACATGAGACCAGGAAATCTAGAATACAATAATAAATACCATACGAAAATACAGTGCAAAGTTGCTGTTTTAATTAAAAAACACGGTCAAAGTTTTTTTTTCTTATTACGCACTGTGTGCTGCAGGATTTTTTTATACTGCGCATACTGACCACATAGACCCATTCTTTCATATGTAGGCCTACCAGCTTTCTCTCATTAGATTTGAGGGCGCTAGAATGTAGGCGTACTAGTATGTCAAAAATCCTGGTGCGTAAGCCGTACTAGTACGTCCGAAACCCTGAAAGGGTTAAGGTAAGTATTGTATATACATTAGAACCTCTGTATCCACTAATTCAGTATCCACAGTTTCAGTTATCCATGTTTTACTGTGGCCCAAATATACCTCTTAATTTTGCATAAAAATGGCCCCAAAGTGCAAATGTAGAGAAGTGCAAAAGCCTAATAGAAGCCGTGAAGTGCTTCCCATCAGTGAAAAAATGATAATTCTCCACTTATTATACATAATTTATCAATTAGACTTTATAATAGGTAGGTATAGGACTTATATATATAGGGTTTGCTACTATCCAGTTTCAGTATACACAGCAGGTCCTTGGAATGCATCCCCCACAGATATGGAGGTCCTACTGTACTGTGTACAGCCTCTCCTCACTTAGCAACGTACTCGTTGACCGACACCTTGGACTTATGACAGGCTCTCTGACCAGTATTCATACCTAAATAATGTATATTAGAGCTGATGTCCTCTATTCTGTTTATTTCAATATACAGTACACTACAGTATAAATATTTAAAAATATACCAGAAATGTTATAAATGATGCAAAGGTGACATTAAAACAATACCAAAGATGGAAGACACAAATGCACTACCATTATAGTATGCTCCTCTCTTAGTGACAAATTTGTTTAATGATATGGTCTTAGGAATGGAACTCCGTCGTTAGGCGAGAAGAGGCTGTATTTTACTTTATTAATTTTTTTATGCCAAGCCATATTGAACACTTAATACATGATAGTGTAAACATATTATCAGGCGTTTTAGATGCATCTGATAGTGAAAAACGCTATTTTCCACCCACCGGCAACTGTCACTTATCATCGGGGATGGGAACATAGCCATAGAAACAGGGCCCTTCTGTATGTGGTTCATGGCAATTTAGTGAGAAAATGCTTTGTCCACAAGGGAGGAAAACATGAATAAAAACATTTTCTCAATAAAATGACATAAACCGCATTTTGTATCTCATTAACATGCTTTTCCGAGGAAGCGTAACATCAGATATGCATCATTTTTATGCTTGCAATACACCAAGCCTTATTTTACTCACAAGAAGATTCTTGGTTGTCTTGTCACAAGCCTGAAACATTAAGAATGAGCTAAACTTATCGACCAATTATTGCAACAACTGTTACAATTTGAAACATTCATACGCGTCTCTACGTTTTTTTTTTATCTTGACAATGTTTTCAATATATTGGGCCTGTTTCCCTAAGATGCCTGCTGTCCTTGTTCACCTAGCAGTAAAGAGCTACCTGGGTGTTAGGTGACTAGCGGGGGTTGCATTCTCAGGACAAAATTAACCTAATTTGCCTGAAATGCTCTGCATAACAAGGGGGCTTTCTATATAATATGTCACTGATGTCAGCTAGGTCTGTATAAGTTGTATCATCTACTTGTAGAAATAAATATTATTATTATTATCAAACCTTGCAAAAATTTATGAAAGAGTGCTACATCGCTAAGGGACACAGCACTGGGAAATGTTTTCGATGGTTTCATCCAAAGAAGGTAGCTCTGGTACCTTGGACCCAGAGACCTTTACCAGCATCACCACTTTCAGCATCCCAATAGTATGTTTTCTTATTAAACTCATGAAAAGCACAAAACCCATATGGGTCATTCATTCAGCACTACACAGCAGAATTGAGACAGAAGATAGAGGGGTAAGAGGCAGATTATTATTGCATTCCTGAGGAAGCACTAAACCTGTAAATGTCAACTAGCACCTGGAAAATAGACAGCAATCTGGTTTGATATATGAAAGAGGGCAGGGGGAGGGGTAAGCTCCAATTCTTTGTATCAAGAACCCTTCACCAGTGCCAAGGCAGCTCTCCCCACTCCACTAAGGGCAGGACACTGGCAGAATAGAGAAGAAGGGATAGCAAAATTTATGTAGAAAATTGGTGTTGTTACAGTCTGCAATAAAGCTGCAATCAAATCAAAATCAAACCCTTTATTTCTTTGTACAGCACAATGTGTAGTCCACATGTAATAAAATATTGTTGAACACAAAGAGAGCCACTAGAATGCACGAGCATTTCGGAAACACTAATACTAATGCTTACAGACTACTTAAAACCACACATAAGTTACAGAGTGGTAAATTTAAATTGTGTATTATTACAACAATGGGAGGTAGCAAAATTTACAATTAATAAAATTTATAGAAGACTGGCAGCAAAAGAGGAGAGCAGACAAGCATGTAAGAGCATCAAAGACAGTATCAGAAATAAAGCTAGCACACTTTCCCAAACTAGCAATATAATATATGATTGAGGTAAAGTGATTTATCCACGTATTAATCACACTAATTTTCTCTCTCATCAAATTAGCTAAAAAAATATAAAACTTACTTTGAATTACTAGTTTACTTTATTTCATTGCTTTTTTTTTTTGACAAAATTTACCTATTATTATTGTAATTTACTAAATTAACTTCAAGGTATGAATATATACATGTATATAGATATATACAGACAGCCCCTCATGATGTGCATAAGTTTCTTAGCAATAATTGTATACATTACCATTTATCACTATAAAAATGGCATAAAATGCTGACAAGATGAGGAATTAGATATACTATTTGCAAAACCTGGATATTTTTATTTGAAGATGACTGACCATTCACTGGCTTAACACTAATCACTGGTAAAACTAGTGTTTAACCAGTCACTGGAGAAACCACTGACTGGTTAACATCTCTAAATAAAGATACCCAGGAGATGCTCATGTGACAAATTCCTCTATTTGGAAAATTTAAATTTAATCTTGAGTTGGCAATGAGTTACCTGTCGGGCCATTTTCTCCCCTGGTGTTTGTGTTTCCAGGCCTTCCAGAGAGAGGAAGCAGCCAACAGAGCGGCCGAGATCACCAAGCAGACGATCTCTCACAGTTTCAGCTAAAACATCTCCATCCACAGCAAGAGTGACCAAATCTGCCGAGGCCAAAGACGGGACCCCACCAGACTGAGCAGCAAGTGGATCAAATGCATCACGAAGTTGTTTGTTCATTCTATTGTAAATGATGAGAAAACATATTACTTTCATACAGAAGAACTATTTCAAATAACAATAAACTGATTTTGTAAAAGCCAAATAAAATTGTGATGCAATACAGGTCGGCCATCGCTAATCCAGCAGTCAGTCATCTGGTTCCAACAGTAATCCAGCACTAATTTTGGCTAGCATAATTTCAAATTTCCGGGGTCACCACACCAACCTGCCGCTACTACTGTTTGGTGGTGTACTTGCTGCATAAGTCGTTTCAATTTGTTTTTCTCCATTTATTGTTATAACCTGCTCACTTTTAGCCCTAGCCATGGTTCCAATGAATAAAAGAAATATTCTCATTGTGCAAAGCACCTTCACAGTACACTGTCCATAAAAGATAAGGTGGTTTTGAAGCCACTGTCAGTTGCTATGAGCTCCTGAGTCTCATGATGTCAACACTAATATCAACACTACAGCTATTTACCTATCACAACTAATCTAATATGACATAATAAACAATATAAATAACATAAAAACATGGTAAATACTCCAGAATGAATAATATTTGGCATAATACCAAGTGGTCCGATGGAGGTATGAAGTTACCGCTATAGAATATGGGATAAAAGTACCATCCTCCTATCCCTGTCTTGGGGGCTTATATTAGAGAAAACGTAGTGTAGTACAGGGCTATGATATATATGTTTTCGTTGACTGTCTTGGAAGTAGGTTATTCATTTATATCTTAACCCTTTCAGGGTCCAGAGGCCAAATTTCAAAGTGTGCACCAGTGTCCAAGAATTTAAAAAAATAATTTTGTTATTTTTTCTTATGAAATGGTAGAGAATCTTTTTCTGAAGGAAATAAAACAAAAAGTACAAAATTTGATGGAAAATTGACGAAATTATGCTCTCACGAATTTTGATGTGTCGGCGATAATTACGCATCGGTGATTTTGCCAAATTTGACTCCCATTTTAGGGCAATTACATTATTCCAGTCGACCAAATTCTTAGCTATTTCACTAGCATTACTTCTATTCTATCGATTGAGCACAAGAATTCGCCAAGTCAGCTGTTTCAACTACAAAATAGTGATCGGAAATTGGTAATTTGGCAAATTTAATGCAAAGTTCAAAATACTCCAATTTCAAAATAGGGTCCAGAATAAACAATGCAGGCATTCCTGGCACTAAACTAACATTTCCTCTGTTCATTAGTTATGTTTTCAGGCTTTACTAATGAATTCCATTTTGATTTTTTATTCACATAATGAATTTTTATTCAAACCAAAAAATAGAAGATTTACTGTTATACAATACTGTAATAATTGTATAAATAATATCACCACATTTGTGAATGTATATTAGGCCCACCAGCAGGCATGTATTAGACGTGTGAGGTCATTTGTTTACTCTTGAGCATCGGCAAAAATTTAACATTTCTGCTACTTTGAGCTCAGTTTCAAGCCATTTCCAGTAATAAACCCAATCAAAATCATCTCTATTTCTGTAATATATCTTCCATTCTGAAGATATATTACTGAAGGAGGGGTGTTAATGTTGCAGTTTAAAAACTGTAGTGTAAAGCACCCTTCTGGCAAGACAGTGATGGAGTGAATGATGGTGAAAGTTTTTCTTTTTCGGGCCACCCTGCCTTGGTGGGAATCGGCCAGTGTGATAATAAAAAAAAATAAAAATCTTCCATTCTATCAAATGAGACCAAGAAATCGCAAATACAACTATAAAAAACATACAAAAAACACTGCAAAGTTGCCGATTTAATAGAAAATTACGGTCTCAGTTTCTTTTCTCTCATTATGCACTATATGCTTCAAGATTTATTTTATGTGGTGCACACATAAAACAAAATTTACACATAAAACAAAATTTAATGCTCACAGCTTATCAGAGTGAGCTGAGCTCATGACATAGATCTACGGTTCGGACCCTCAACGTAAAGCCGTAGATCTACGGCACGAACCCTCAAAGGGTTAACATACCTCTCAAGGGAGGTTCCATGACACTTTTGAGGGGCTCTTGATCTAGGAATTTGATCTGTGCTCCAGTTCCCTGAATTAAGCCTGAATACCTTCCATCCCCTCCCCCCCATAGGCACTGTATAATCCTACGGGTTTAGCGCTTCCTCATTATAATAATGATGATAATAATGATGATAATAACAATAATGATAATTATAATAATAATAATAATATAATAATAATATCTTAACATATCAGCATTAATAATGATCAGAATGCAATGAATTTCACAGACAACATAAAAGGACCCCAATGGAAATAAGTCACTTTAACTTTTTTGGATTATCCTAGGTTCTTTGCACATATGCTGCTATATATAATAATCTATGTAACTATTTGTTTTTGTTGGGCTATTTTATTGAAACTTGGGCAATGTATGATGGAAAATTGGTTCTTAACGTACACCAAAGATGAAAGAAATCAGACGATAAATAACAGAGTTCGCTTCTCAGCCATTAGCCGCACCTTTGCGGTATATTTTCGTATGGTTTTTATGGTTGTATTCCTGTTTTTTATCTCACTTGATAGAATGGAAGATATATTACAGAAATAGATATGATTTTGATTGGTTTCATGATGAAAAGTACTTTGAAACTGTTCAAAGTAGTGAAAAATGTCTCGATTCTTTGCAATGTTCAAGAGTAAACAGTAATGAACATCAAATGTCCAACTACATTTGTACTGACAGTAGTCTAATAAGCAGTCATAAATGGGTTGTAATGGAAAGTAAGAGTAATATAAGAGGGGCTTGGAGACATGACTAATGAACAGAGAAAATATTATAGTGCCAGGAATGTCTGCATTGTTTATTCTGGATCCTATTTTGAATTGGCATCTTTTGAAATTTGTTTGAAACTGGCCAAATTACCAATTTCTGACCACTTTTTTGGGTAGATGAAATAGGTGAATGGGCAGTTTCTTATACTCAAGTCAACAGAATAGAAGTAAGTTTATTCTGGTATACAGTAGGGCCCCACTTATACGGCAGGTTAGGTTCCAGGCTGTCGCCAGAAAGCAGACATCGCCGGAAGGCAGAATGCCCTTTTTTTCAATTTATAAATGTATATAAATGCCAGACAACAAGTTTACACTAAATTATATTAAGTTAGTAATAGAACTAGGCATTAAAAACACACAAAGTAAAATACATTCACAGTAAATTCATTATTTATCTTTAAGTATTTGTAATCTTAATGTAGGGAGAGAGGTGAGTAGTACTTATTTGTAGTAAGTCAGGTGCAGGTAGCCTAGGTGTAGGTAGCCCTGGCTCCCCGTCTCATACTTAATTTACGATATTTAAAACATCCCAGAGATATAAAATACACATACAGTACACTCATTATTTACTTTAAAATATGTGTAGTCTTAATATAGGAAGAGAGGTGAGTAGTATTTATTTGTAGGAAGTCAGTGTAGGTAGCCGGTAGGTGTAGCCCGCCTGGGCTACACCTACCGGCTACCTACACTGTGGCGCAGAGCCATATTATTAACATCAACATGCCTTGTTCACTGAATTTAATCATTTCTAACAACTACCTTTAGATGCCATCATAAACGAAGGTAGAAGTAATGAATAATTCATGCCGAAAATTGTAAACAAAAGTGGAGTGAGGGAGTGGCTGGGCCAAACGCAGATTCATGGCTGAACAGAGAAAACGTAATGTTGTCCCTCCACCCGGCTACCACACAGCTCCACAAGTATTATTATCAGAGCACACATAAAATATGCAATAAATACCAGACAACAAGTTTACACTAACTTATATTAAGTTAGCAATTGAAATAGGCATTAAAAATACAATAAAAGGTAAGATACACACAGAGTACACTTATTACTTACCTTAAAATATTAATATTAATGTGTGTGAGAGGTGAGTGGCAGGGTGTTTATTGAATAAAATCAGAATGGCACACCATCATCCTCTAACTTGGCACTTAAAGCAAGAGGCTTAAGACTTCTCTTTTTATCACAGCTAACCTTAGACGCCATCGTCAATGAGAGCCAACTAGTTAACAAAAGAGTAAACGATAGAGAGAACGAGATACAGAGTTGAGACAATGTAAGAACACAAACTGAACAGGTAGTGGACGATCACTTGGTCAGGCGAAATAAATGTGTATTCATATGTGTCTACTTTCAGTTCATTCACGTCCGTTTGTAAGAGTTTGTAAAACATTTGCCTCAATATTTTTTTATTATAATAATAATTACCTCACAATACAAATACTCTTACATTGTGTACAAGTTGTACAAGTTAGTTCAGAAAAAACAAATAGCAACACACCATTTTTAGAGTGAATGAAGATAATAATACAACACAACAATCAAAACAAAATAATAATAATAATAATAATAATAATAATAATAATAATAATAATAATAATAATAATAATATTATTATTATTATTATTATTATTATTATTATTATATTATAATAAAATGCACTAAACCCACAAGGGTCGTGAATTGCTATATATAAAGGCATACGAAAAGAACATTTTTCTACAGGTATCCCCCAGTTTGACTAGAGAAAACAGTAATTCTTCCGGCACTACCTACACAGCTGCTTTGTAAACAAATCTCATATTTACATCAATTTTTATTCTGTGAGTGTATGTATCATGTTTATATGCTATGTAATGGGTTTCATATATAATTTTGAGGAAAATATCATAGATGGATTAATGAAAATGCCTATATTGATGTAAAATAAGACATTTAGTGTGCCCAAGAGTGATTATTATTATGTAGTATTGGCGTCATGAGTAGAGAGAGACTTAGCGATTTTAATGTGTACCTGCATACCAACACAGTGTGTAAGTATATTTAGGTACAGGTACACATAAGTATGATAAATTAGACACATGTGCAACTCTTGGGTATGTAAGACTGATTACCTCATTCTCTTCCTGTTTTTCAAGTTTCTCCTACGTATGGACTGATGAAGCCACTGTGTGGCGAAACGTTTCCTCAATAAAGATA